AGTGTGTAATATTATGGCATTTGCATGTACGGTACGGCGTTTATGGGATGGGCATGAACAATATCCCCAGGGAAATGTCGATTGAAGTATATATGGCGGCTCAAAATGTGTAGCATGTGTACGAAGCAGAGTGAGGGGCTTAATACGTAGCCACTGGCATGCAACAGGGCCGCCCACGGGGCTCATTTCCCAGCTCATCTTGATCTCACGCGCATTTGATCTGATATCATGTGTGGAATTTTTACTTTTTGGTATTTCTAAGTTGACGCCTCCTCACAATCGGTCTTCGACTTTGTTTTCAATCGCATTTACTAGCAAAGCGACAATACTTCCATGGAAAAGGAGGCGTCCGCTCGTACCTGCTCAGGCCGGCACTGAGCACATTTATGCGGAGGCACCGCTGATGAAGAACCACTTGTCGATGGACGCGTCGATCTTCTCGGCGGGGAGCTCCTGGTGCTGGGGCAGAGGGGGGAGCTGCTCGGGGGCGGTGCGGGCGGGAGAGTGCTGGACGGTGACGTTGGCGCTGTAGGCAATGGTTAGTCGATGTGCTCTTTCAAAGGGTTTTGTCCAGGTGTCGCGTGATGGACTTACGTAGAGACGGAGCCGGCAGCGGTCTTGCCGGTGATGAGTCTCTCCCAGGCCTCGCCGCACTCACGGACGACGTCCATGGCGTAGCTGCGCGATATGTTAGCAATTGTCCAAATATATCAAGTCATGATCGAGACCAACCTCTTGTTCTTGCACTCGCCAGTGAAGGCGAACTGGTTCTCGGGCTTTCCGTCAGGGATCTTGTAGATGCGGAACCACTCGTTGGTGGCACGGAGAAGGCCGGGCAGGTGACGCTCGACGTCCTCGACGTCGTTCAACTTGGGAGCCAGGGGGTCGTTGACGTCAATAACGATGACCTTCCAGTCGGTCTCCTCCTCGTCGAGAAGGGCCATGACACCGAGGACCTTGACCTGCTTGACCTGGCCGGTGTAGCCAACAAGCTCACCGATCTCGCAAACATCGAGCGGGTCGTTGTCACCCTTGGCCTTGGTCTCGGGGTGGACAGCGTTGGGGTCCTCCCAGGTCTGGGAATGGGTTAGACATTGTTGTGTTCAGCGGTTCTTGGGACGGCAAGCTATCGTACCTGGGGGAAGGCACCGTAGTTCCACAGGTAACCCTTGTGGGGGAAGCAGTTGCGGACGTAGCGAAGCTTGCCCTTCTTGATGTCCTGCTTGATGGGGTTGAGGAGCTCCTCCTTGGAGATCTGTGTTCAAAGTGTCGGTCAGCGCCACATGCCCATTGTGTGTGTTTCTCCCCCCGATTGGAATCAACAATGTTTGCAATTGCCAACAAAGGCAGCTGCGTACATGAGATTCATTGAGGGGTTGAAGGCCAATCATACCTCAAGCTTGGCGTTGGTCCAGCGGGGGATCTCGACGACCATGTTCAGGATGGTCTGCTCGGCGTTGGCGTACAGAGGAATGTCGTGGAAAGGAGAGACGGGAACGCCATCCTTCTCGACGTAGACGCGGTGCTCGAGGGTGTTGGGAGCACCGACCTTGCGGACGGAGTACTGAGAAGCCATGGCGGTGTCTTGCTTGTGCAGGCTCGGGTCAGAGTCTTTGGAGATGGTAGAGAAGTGGCGGGCAATCTGAGCGGTGCGCCGGGAGGGAATTTTGGATTTAATATCGGCTGCAGCAGATTGTGATGGAGGAGGAGGGGTGCTGCGGTTGGCGGATGATGCAAGGAGGGATGGAGGGGGAGGGGTAGCAGACCCGGCTGTTAGCTTGGTGCGTGCCGCCAGGGTTGCTGAGTGATTGGCCCGGGACGGGGCCTGAATCGGGGACAGAGGTGAGAGGGTGGAACGGGCGCTGGGTCGGGCGGACGGTACGACGCCTGGGAGCGAGCCTGAGCCTGAGCCGGAGGGTGCCTTCGCTGAGAAGAGACGCGTCTTGGTGAGCGTTGGCTGCAGCTTAATGCCTCGTAAGAGCGGCATGTATACAGTGGGTGAATGGAAAGACGGAAGAAGGGAAGGGTGTGGTAGATGGGGATTAGGGGGTTTAAGCTCTGTTACAGCACACGTCTTCAGAGGGGATAACTGCTAAGTCGGTCTGTGAGCGGTGTCTGCATCCGAGGTTCGACGGGAGAGAAGAGGTGCGCCAGGCGCTAAGGCGAAGATGAAGCCGGACTCTCAGGTCTCGTTGAGCTCGGTAGCTCGGTGGTTCTGCGGTGGGAGGGGCGCTGGAGCTCTCACCTTCGGATTTAGAAGCACTGCGCCGTACACGCGGCAATCGGGGCTGCAAGTCTGCTGTTGATACAACGGGGCAAGCAAGGCAAGGGAAGAAACCGGGAGAATCTCCTGGTCTGCGTTCTGGGTCTGCCTCTCTGTGTCTGGGGCCTCTGTCGCGACAGCAACCTTGCCGAAAAATCTTTACCAGCCTCAGGCGCTATTGTCTGATCCCTGTAAACTGCCCCTCAATTACCCCTCCACCGCATTTTGGACAGTGAATGTACAACGCAGTATCCATGAAGTGTCATGGCTGTATCGAGTACAGCAAGGTTATGAAGCCAATTGAGGTTCCTGTGAGGTGGCAAAGCTGTACAAGTAGATCTGGGTTTGTACACGAGGAGCCAGCAAACATGCCGAGTTGATATCGAGCGCTTGAATCGCGGCATGTTAGCTACTGACCGACATTCCAGCTTCACATGTGAGAGCTGTGGCACCTTGAGGTCCTCCCCAACGATTTGGCTCGGACAAACCCCAAGCTCATCAAGCCCATTCAAAGCTGGTTCTTCAACTACGTCTCCTTACCACGTTTGTATTGACATGATAGTTGTTGGCGGTTGAGGATGCAACAGGAATGGTAGAAGCGGTCGTTCGCTGGCAATCTCTATGTCTTCGTTGTGTTTGTTCTTGTCATTATAACTGCACTTGTTAGTATCACCCGCAAAGTCTGTCCTGATTTGCGCCGTGCATCACAGAGAGGCAAAGTATAGTAACTGCTATACGTTCTAGAAGGTGTACATAGAAAAGACTGCCCTAGACTGTTATTATCATTGCATGTAATCTAACTCTACTGATTCGGGTCTGGTCAAATCTCCCTGTAGTAGAAATAGCCTGTTAAATCAGAGAATCATCGACAACGCCAATAGAACCAAGTAATGCAGAGTCTTGGGCAAAGGGTCGGATTTAATGAGACCTTCCAATGTCATGAATTCGATGTTGAAGAAAGATTAGGTGGGTCCATTTCGATAGACGCTTATCGATAAGGCACGGCCTGTCACTTTTCTCCGTTGCTAACCCGTCAAGGCATCGCCGCATAGAAGATCCTCACGCGCAAGACTCACATCTTCTCCAGTCGCAAATTATGTGGCATAATATCTGTCCCTGACATGTCGGTTCGCACTATCCTCAGAAACATGGCATCCGATATCAAGAGAGTTCCTATCCCCCGTCGCGGGGTCGACTACAGGGGCAAGATCGTCCTTGCGCCGATGGTCCGCTCCGGCGAACTCCCCTCTCGCCTCCTAGCCCTGCACTACGGTGCCGACCTGGTCTGGGGTAAGTCGCAAACACGCAAAAGCACAATGACTCAACTGACAAGTCCATAGGACCCGAGACTGTCGATAAAGCCATGATTGGCACCACGCGCCGAGTAAATCCCGTCACGAATACGATCGACTGGACCAAGGTTCCCTCTTTTGGCCAGAAGAACCCTCCTAAAACGAATCCCGAAGCTTTGATCTTCAGCACCCTCCCTGAAAAAGAGGCCGGTAAGCTGATATTTCAAATTGGAACGGCCGACCCTGAGCTCGCAGTTCAAGCGTCAAGGCTCGTTGCGGCGGATGTGGCCGGTATCGATGTCAACGCTGGCTGCCCCAAGCCCTTCAGCATCAGCGGCGGCATGGGCGCGGCCTTGCTGAAGACTCCGGACAAGCTCTGCGCCATTCTGGAAGCTCTTGTCACGAACATCATGCCCGAGTTTGAAATTGGCATCAGCGTCAAGATCCGTCTGCTGTCCACCCCCGAAGAGACAGAAGCTCTGGTACGAAGACTATGCGCCACTGGCATTACCGGCCTGACGATTCACTGCCGAACGACTCCCATGCGCCCCAGAGAACGCGCAATCCGCAACGATCTCCGCATGGTCGCTGAAATCTGCCATGAGTTCGGTGTTGCCTGTATCATGAATGGCGACGTTGAGGGCCGCGACCATGCCGTGGACCTCATTAAGGAGTACGGCGTTGACGGCGCCATGATCGCCACGTCTGCAGAGGCGAACTCGAGCTGTTTCCGTTCGGGCGTCGACGGAGGCGTAGCATCGTGGGAAGAGGTCGCTGCAACATACGTCAAGTACGCCTTGGAGGTTGCCAACAAATTCGGCAACACCAAGTATTTGCTGTGCCAGATCGTCCCCGGAAAGAGTGGCATGTACCAGAAGATGAACCAGTGCAAGACCTACACCCAAATATGCCGAGCGCTTGGTCTCGACGATCTCATGGATCTTGCTCGGCAAACAGACTGGGACAAGGGCATCGATCCGGAGGGCTCAGGCAAACCAGAAAAAGCTGAGAAGAAGGCCAACCCCAGTGCTATGGCAGCTGGTGGTAACATGAAGGCGAGCCGGGACAACCAGACATCCCGAAAGATGTCTGAGCGAGGGGTCACTGCCGCTGCCGAGTCGAAAAAAGCGGCTGTCCCTTTGCAGACATGAGATGGTGATTTTGACGATTAATCGCGAGGTGGTTTGCATCGAAGGCGTTTAGGGGGGTAATAACAAAGCATAGCGACACAAATATCACAAATACGCCTTTGGCAGGCCAGCCACAGATAATGGGGAAAACTAGATCTTTTTGTACACGACTCCGCATAGTCAGAAATATCAAGAAGCCGAGTGACTTCACTCAAGCACATTTGTTCATGATGATAAATTTTGTGGAATTACAAAGGAACCGTCAGCAGCGGCTCTGGCCGCTTCTGCTTCTATGATACAGTCCCAACCCTTCTTTTATTTGCCCTTCTTCACCCAGTCCTCAACAGTCTCACGAGCATCCGTGACTTTCTCATCGACATATCGTACACCAATCTGGCTGTGAATCTTTGCCGCCCTCAAGCTGTCCTCGATGCTCTGGCGAATCTGGAGATGTCCCTGGGCGATGACAGGGAAGCGCTGCTCGTACTTCCAGGCAAGGTTGGAAACATTGCCCATGGTAATGGGCAGAACAGTCCAGCCGGCGGTGATACCAAGGGCCAAGGGTGCGGTGGCGCGGAGAATGACACTGCGGTTGCGGGTGATGATGCTGCCTGCCATGGCAGCGACGAGGACGTAGATGGCGCCGGGCATCAGCTTCTCGCCGCTCTCGCGGGGAGGTGCCAGGGATGCGATCGTGCTGGTGAAAGATTGCTCGAGGTTGAAGGCGCGGTCCATCGTGCGGTTGACGGCATCCTCAGCGCCGACGGCGTACTGGTACAGACCCAAGCGGGCCTTGCCGATCTGGACGGCCAGACGTTCGGTAGGCGTAGGTCCTCGGGGCTTGGATGGCTCCTCGGCCGGAGGGAGCTGTTCCGTCGGGGGAGGGGGAGGGAGGGTTCCGCTGGTCGGGAGAGGCGCCGGCTCGTCGTAAATCGGCTTCTTAGACTGCGGACATGTTAGTATTGTGTGCGTTTTGACTGGGAGTCCGACTGCAGACGTACCTGGGCGGTCTCGGGAGCTTCAGCATGGACAGTCCGGGGAGCCAGGGCGAATCCCATCACGACGGTCGCTGCCAACGGCGCGGCGCGCTTTTGCTTTCATGTCAGCTGCCGAGTAAACCATGAAGCAACAAGTTATCATAACTTACCCGTTGTAGCAACACTCTAGCAGCCATGGTCCACTCAATTGGTCGATTGAGGGAATTGGATGTTGGTCTCGCGAGAATATTTGGAAGTATGATGTACAGGAAAGTCTCCAGGCCCACGCTGCGGCTATTTCCGGAGCTCGGGAATTCGATAATGCACCTCGCCCAAACCTGGAAGCACCTACGTGAGCACCTGCACAACCTTGCACAAAAATTCGGTCCATGCACCCGCATGCGCAACTAATCGCATTGCCGGCAATTCTACTTCACCCAAACATATTTCTACAATTCCGGATACAGATCCGAACTCACCCAACTCCCCATTTCCTTGTATTCTTACGACTAGATCTTTTGCCCCGACCAGCAGTTATGGTCTTTACGTCGAAGGGCTTTTCATAATGTTCAAACCCCCAAACCGCGGCCTCTGGGTCTGCACTCAATGTGTTCGACAAGCTTCCCGCGGCCAACAGCGCCGGTGGATGGCCGCCGCCTCCGGCGCCGCCCCCTCGAGTCTGCCCGCCGACCACGCGCCCCCAGGTAGAAACGCTGACGATGCGATCCTGCGGGAACTTTTCGACTCTCCCTCCCGTGTAGCAAAAGCATTCAAGGCTGCTGGCCCGAGCGTCGGCCTGTTCAAGAACCGATACCTCACGAGCCCAAATGGATTCTACGTATTTGCTCGCCGAAGCTTGGACAAGGCGCAGAAGATTGTCCATCGAGTCCTCCATGCGTCGACTGCTTCCGAATATCAGGACATTGTCAAGGACTTGGATCGGTTGAGTGACCTGCTCTGCAGAGTCCTCGATCTCTCAGATTTTGTCAGAATGACGCACCCTGACCCGAGGTTCCAGCAAGCAGCTGCAGGGGCCTGGTCTATGGTATACCAGTACATGAACCAACTCAACACCATGACTGGGTTGAGCGACCAGCTTGTGAAGGCGATGGCAAACCCTGACGTTGTCGCGGCTTGGTCGGAGGAGGAGAGAACGGTGGCAGAGATACTGAAGTTGGACTTTACGAAGTCGGCCGTCGACCTCCCCCAGCAAGAACGTGACCGATTCGTCGACCTCTCTCAGCAGATTAGTGAGGTTGGATCTGCCTTCGTCTCGAACATGGCCCCTGCAAAGAGGGAAGTTGTGCTGCCATCGTCCAATTTCTATGGGTTGTATCCCAGCATCGCTCGAGCACTTACGATGAGGGGCAAGTTGCGCCTCCCCACCACCGGGCCTGAAGCTCAGGCAGCACTCCGAAGCGTCAAGGACGAGAACACCCGGAAGGAAGTTTTCACAGCCATGCGCACTGCTTCGAAGCAAACCGTGAACCTGCTGGAGACTATGCTGAAGCTGCGAGGTGAGCTGGCCAATCTGGCCGGCTTTTCCAGCTACGCCCATCTTGCCTTGAAAGACAGGATGATGGCCAAGTCCCCCAGCGCAGTGTTGCAGTTTCTCCACGCGCTGCAAAAGTACAACACGCCCATGGTGCAGGCGGAAATGGCAGACCTGTTGAAGTTGAAGCAGACCCGCCTTGACAGCACGTCTACTCAGATCCATCCCTGGGACAAGGATTTCCTAATGGATGGCGTGAGGGCTGAAATGAGACTTCCCGTCCGTCACCCTGACCACCTTCCCTCCTTCTTTTCGATCGGCACCGTCATGCAGGGCATGTCAAGGCTATTCACTCGTCTTTACGGCATTTCGTTCAAACCTAGAGAGTCGCAGCCAGGCGAGACCTGGCACGAAGATGTGCGACGTTTGGATGTTGTTACTGATACCGGCGACTTGATCGCAGTTCTGTACTGCGACTTATTCTTCCGAGAGGACAAGTCGCCTAACCCTGCTCACTTCACGGTGCGATGTTCTCGTGCAATTGCTCCTTACGAGGTCCAGGAGGCAGCGGAAGACCTGCACCACAACTCGTCTGACTTGCCCAAGTTTGAAAGACCCGAGCAAGCTGCCAACGATGGCATGGAGAGCTTACAGGAGAGCGGCGTCTTGATGCAGTTGCCAACGATCGCCTTGGTCTGCGACTTCCCCAAGCACGATGCAAACAGCTCTGCACCAGCGCTTCTGTCGTACTATCAAGTCGAGACCCTATTCCACGAGATGGGTCATGCCATCCACTCGATCCTTGCCCGCACGAAGCTTCAGAACGTTGCTGGCACGAGATGTGCCACCGATTTTGCCGAGCTCCCTTCCACACTGATGGAGCATTTTGCCGCCGACCCATCAGTCCTTGGCTTGTTCGCGCGTCATTGGAAGACGGATGAACCTTTGCCTTACAAAATGGTCGCGGAACGGATCCGCCTGGCCAAGCGTTTCGAGGGCATCGACACCGAGAACCAGATTCTTCTGTCTCTTCTCGACCAGTCCTATCACGCCCCGGAAGTTACCGAAGGCTCCTTCAACTCAACAAAGGTCTACCACGATCTGCAGAGGCAATATGCCCAGGGCGGCCCTGATCCTCCTGGCACCTGCTGGCAAGGCTTCTTCGGCCACCTTCACGGCTATGGCAGCACCTACTACAGCTACGTCTTTGACCGCGTGCTTGCTGAGCGAGTTTGGAGGGTCGTGTTCAAAGCCGGCGCGGACGGCAAGGCGCTGGACCGCGCCAACGGCGAGAGGCTCAAGGAGAAGCTCCTCAAGTGGGGTGGGAGCCGCGACCCGTGGCAGTGTCTCGCGGATACGCTACAGGATGATCGTCTTGCGAAAGGTGACGACAAGGCCATGGCGCTCGTCGGTAGTTGGGGTATCAAAGACGACCATGCTTGAGATCGTCCTTTTCCCCGCTGCAATGTACACTTAAGAAGGACTATCGCAGCATGATGCGATACTGTTTACCGTAGACATGTTCTTTTGCTTTGAGCCACTCCACTATACAACGATAGCACTTGTCTTGTTGTCGAGCATAGGATTGGGACAACCTGTTGCCGGTACATGAATTGCCATTGCTTCAATTCGAGGTGATTTGCCGAATGGGGCAAGCTCCGAACGATAGAAGAAGACGAGTATATATCATCTAGAGCTGCGCCTCTCTGCGAAGCCGCCGAGGGACAAAGGAGAGAACTACTGGTTTTTTTCCCGCGGAAGTATCACGCAGGGGACAATCCGCAGCAGCAGCAGTTACAATGCCATTGCGCATGATTACCATAGATGAATAGACGTTCATACAGACAAGAGGCGCTCGGGGTTCTTTGGGGCCGGGATGGTGGCGTCGACCGGTGCATCGTGAAAGCCCACCGTCAAAGCTTGTCGCTCTCACCTCCTTTCAGCCGCTTGGGCTAGCTTCAAACTAAAGGCGCGATCCTTCTCATCTCGATTGTATAAACACCCCAAGGATCCCTGGCTCGGCAGTCTTTTGCTCATCGTCGCGTCTGTTTTCTTGTGTTTCCTCCTATTCTCATGATCCCGTCCCCATGGTGCTCCTCCCGATCTTGTTGGTCTCGGCCCTGGCGGGGCAGGGGTTATCGCAGAATACGGCGACCTCTGCTTCGCCGTCTGCTTCTGCGGCTGCCACGCCATGCTACGTATGTCCACCAGTGTTGTTTTATTTTCGATGTTTTCGAGATGGGGATGGTTAAGCTGACAGATTTCTTTTTCCGTGCTGCAGGTTCATTGTTTCTCACAGTTCCTCGTGGACATGACCGACTCGTGCAAGACAAAGTGCGCCTGCGCGGGCTCCTCTCTCCTGACCGACTTTGAGTGCTGCATGACGGACTGCCCTGCGGATCAACAAGCCAACGTGACGCTCTCTGTGCAGAACTCCTGTACGGACGGCAAGGACCTGAAGCTCGAGTACACTTGCGCGAACGCCACCCCAGACACCACAACGGCCGCGACATCATCGACACCGACGGCACTGTTCACTTCGATAGTGCTGGTATCCGCCCAGACGGCCGAGGGCAGTGCTGCCACGGGTAGCGCCGGCGGGATTGGCGGCGGGATCGGGAGTGATGGCGGCGGAGGCGGGGCGTCGCCGACTGTCGGGCTCGGGGTGGGTCTCGGGGTCGGGCTGCCGCTGGCGGCGGCGATTGTGGCCGGCCTCGCGTTTCTGTGGAAGCGGTCGACCAAGAGGAGGAGCCGTGGGTTGGATTCCAGGGGTGGGCCAGCAGGGGGGTCGGCGGATGGTGTTGGGAGGACGTTTGTGTTTCCGAGCACGATGGTTCTTCCGACACCTGGGCTGCCGCCGGGGGAGGTGCAAGAGTCGAAGGAGCTTGCGGGTGAGATGGAGATTACGCCCCTTGAGATGCTGGGTGATTCGAGACACCGTCAGGAGTTGTCGGTTTGAGTTGTAGATTTGGCTCAAAACTTGGGTTACGCAGGAACACTCTGCGTTGTATATGCTCTATTAATGTAATTCTCTATTGCATAGCATCTTGCTTTGAATTCAAGTTTTCAGGCCCGCGAGTTTCCCTGTTATATACGACCATCCTATTTGCATACCTTAGGTTAAAGATGGTAGCAACGCCCTATTTTCTCGAGAGGGTGTATTACAGACCATCCGCAAGGCTGACGATGAATAAGTTTCAGTTCCGGTGTTCACGGTAAGTACATCGCCCCAGCAAAGCAAAACAACTACAAGCCGATGTCAGTCATGGAAATGGGTATGTAATGTGATGGAATACCCACAAGAGCCAAGATTCCTCCCTCTGCCTTGTCGTCCTTTTCCCGCTCACGCAGCCTCCGACGACGACGTTCCGGTTCCTCCTGGACGAGCAGGCCTCGGCGAAGATCCGCAACGTCTTCTGTCAGCGAAGAGTCTTCATCGACCGTTAGTATCTGAAAAATGGAACAGAGTCATGCTCTGACTGACGTACCGTTCTCTTCACGTCTAGGATTCCGCTTACGTTCGTCGTTTTGGCAGTCTTTGGTCACCTCGCCTTTCACCGAGTCGCTACGAAGTGTGGCGCCATCCAGAGCCTTTTCGTGCTTAGAATCATTCGCGAACATTGTAGGAAAATTCTCGTAGGGGCCGTTTTGATGTTTTGCTGGATTCAGAGGCTGGATGTGTTGTATGTTTGGAGACGTTAAGCT